TCCAATATTTCAGATTTTGACACAAATGTTATAATCAAAACACCTTCTTCGCTGAGGATAGTAGTCACAATTGTTAGAATAATTAAAGTCCAAACCTTGCACTGCTTTTCACTTTTCGATGTATGTTGATCGCTCAGTAGCTGGTTAGATAGCTCAGTGAATTAGGTTTGAGTCAAATATTCCGAGTTTGATTCTTCACTTGGCACCCGGGAGTCAAACCAGCCTGTGTGGCCTTTGGCAAGATGTACTATCCCAGAACAGGGGAATGGTAAATGAATTCTGATAACTCTAGACCTGGAAAACCCTGGGAAGGGTAGTCTTAAGTCAGGACTGATTTAATGCACATAATTATTTATTAAGGACACAGGAACTGTTTCGGGCTATGGAAGAAAGGCTCATTAAATCTAAGGTAAGGAAATTTTGGAATTCTTTTAGATTGGAGGGTTATTTACATGACTGTCAACCACCCAGAGTAGTGTTCCAGCACTAAATCAGGTGGTATACAAATTGCTGAAGTAATGAAATAATCTAAACTGTTGACTCTTTCCTAGTAATTGTCCCATCTCTGAACACAGATAACAGAACTCCCTGATAAAGCGGGGTCCCTTATCACAGGAACTCTAACCAATGTTGACCTACTGCAGTCACAGAGTTCTAGGCAGACTTTCGTGTGCACATCCCAATTTCTGTCTCCGTACAAGCAGGCAAATACCTGCGGTAGGCTACCGGGATGTAAGAATGACCTCAAAGAGGAGTAAAAGTGTCCTTGTTGTTTCAGGCTACCTATCCTGAGACAAAATATGAAGCATACTATTAATAATCTTCTGTGAATCCACCTGTACAGAACTGATACACATGTACTCCCAGGCAGTTATAGAAAATAACCCTGCATTGTGAAAATATCAGAAATAAGAGATTTCAAATATAATGTTAAATAGAATAAGTGTTTAGAAAAATATTGGACTTTTGTGAACTCCTTCTTTTCAAAGTGCTAAATACAATATTTGTAATGGGAGGCTTCCTCAAGTAAAGCTTCGCTTGGGAGTTCCCAGCCACACAGTAGTATTCTTACACAGCCTATCCAGCCTTCAGCACCATCACTGCTACGAATAACTACACTAGGAGAAGCAACTCCTTGATACATTCGGCCACATACACACACCACTCACTGAAGGCTGCACTGTGGCAGCCACCAAGATTCCCACAATCACAGTGATTGTCACCAGGGTGTCTCCATGCATGACAGAGCCTTGAAGACAACCAGGGTGGTAATTGAAACAAACAAACAAACAAACAAACAAACAGCAACAACAACACTGCAAAATTCTGCTGTTCTACCAGTGACAAATGACAGTGAAAGGGAGCACAGAATTGAAGTGAGAGTTGCATATAGATAAACTCCAATCCACATGAAATATTTTTTAAAAAATCTTGTACTTTGCAGAATCAGTGTAATTCACACAAAGGAACTAGCATTGTTAGAATAAAACCTTTCTTCAACAGGAATTTGCGCATTGTTCTCCAGATGTTGTTCCTCACTCAGCAGGTTCAGCTTTAAGATATGGAACTAGAAGCATGCAATACTTCGGTGAAAATAAATCCCTATGTTGCATCCCTCAGTAAAAAAACACAAACAAAAGGAAGCAAGCTAGGTGGAAGTGCTATGTTGGAACCCCTGGACAGCCACTCTCAGTCAAGAGGGCATTGGGTTATGTAGTCCAAGCCTGTGTCCTGATTTGGCAACTTCTTATGTTCCAATTTTGCATTCATCCTGAGTTCGTAACCAATTTTCCACTTCCTCAGTCTGTACAGGAACATAAGGAGCAGACTCTGAAAGCTGTCTTCTGAAAGCAGTAACTAGTGAAGAAGACTGAAGTACTTCAAAACCCTGCTAAATTCAAACACCTCTCTCACCAAATTGAGCACCAGACATCTCCTGCACCTTCCTGTCAGGCAGCAGCTGTCCTGCAAGAGGTCTCTGTTGAAAGGGTCTTGATGGCATATGAGGAACACAGGACCAGTCGTAGTGGCAGTGGGGGCTAGTTTCTCAGTTGCATTTTGTAATCCTCTCTCTGTCTCTCCCAGGTGATAGACCTGACACCTCATACAAGATGGAGAATTAAGTGGGGTTGTAAAATTAGGGAACCAGAGCCCCATAAAACTCTAATGAGCTTTAGGTTTCAAAGCTCTGTGGGGAACTAGCCTCTGACCAAGAGAGTAATAAAAAATCCTTACAATGAAACTCTTCCATGTATTTACTGAACACCCCATTTTCTTAAACATTTTAGACAAAAGAGGACGTGCTTTTTTACTTGTTTTCTTTAGGTTCTCATGGTATGGAACATCTGTTAAATAAATTAATGTCTTTAAAATGCTATAAATTGGACAAGAAAATAAGCAGGAACTCTCTCTCTCTCTCTCTCTCTCTCTCTCTCTCTCTCTCTCAAAACACACATCTTTGATGGTCCATTGTTCTTTTCTATATAAAAATGGGTAGACCCTTATTCTCACACATGCAATCCACAAACACAATAGAAGGAAAGGAGATGTATATTAGTAGCTGATACTATCACAGTGAAAAGGTCCATATAGGCAATTTCTGATATTTCTCAGAGACAGAAGCCCAAGTAGAGAATAATTCCAGTGGGGTGAACATGCTAGTCTATCTAGTATAAATAGCAAGGGGTCCCATAGAACTTGAGAGAATAAGGCGGTGTGAAGTAGTGTTTTTTTAAATTAAAGACACTTCATCCTGTATCTGATGAAGTCAACAGTAGTTCCCTAAAGCTTGGGCCACTTGTATAAGATTCTCTAATTTTTGCCATCTGGAAAATGTCATCCTGGAGTGGAATGTCTATGGGGATTTTGCAAGAAAAAGTCAAAAGTAGAATACTGAATTTTTGCAGATTCCCTCTTGCAAATTTTCCTTTTCGAGATCCACAGAACGGCTTATGGTTGTTATTGTTGTTTAGTCGTTAACTCATGTCCGACTCTTCATGACCCCATGGACCAGAGCACGCCAGGCCCTCCTGTCTTCCACTGCCTCCGAGTTTGGTCAAATTCATGTTGGTAGCTTCAGTGACACTGTTCAGCCATCTCGTCCTCTGTCGTCCCCTTCTCTTCGTGCCTTCACACTTTCCTAACATCAAAGTCTTTTCCAAGGAGTCTTCTCTTTTCATCAGATGGCCAAAGTATTGGAGCCTCAGTTTCAGGATCTGTCCTTCCAGTGAGCACTCAGGGTTGATTTCTTTGAACGGCTAGGACTCACATAATAGTCTTCCATTTCCAAAGCCAAAGAGTTCTGAATCTGGATAAGATGTGGAAGGGAGGGACTATTGCCAAAGAAATGTTCTCCTTTTGTTTGAAGGAAGATAGGATAGAGTGGTCAGGTGGCAGAAAGAAAGAGGAGATACAGGGAGAGAGAAAGAAGGAGGGGGAAGAATACACTGTACAGCAGAAAGAAAGAAATGCTCATTTTAACTGCATCTAGTTTTTACTGGCTCAGTTCCCACAACCACATAGACCATAACAGACTGCTCTGATCATGGAAACTGGCCTTTGACAGGGAGGGGGAAAAGAGTTCCCATTTCAGGGAAAGAATAGCAAAGAACACACTTAATTACTTTTTTTCTTTTAAGGAGGTTTGTTGCTGCACAATGCACTCCAAAACCTATCAGGCTATCCTTTTCTGGAATAAGAACTGAAAATCTACTACTCCACTTTCAGAGTCCCTCAGCTCACGTGGCAACCTTTCTAAGATCTGACTAATAAATGCCCTGGGTCTGAGTGATGATAATACTGAGACCTCCCACAGCCACACTGTACAAGAAGTCATGCATACCGTCACATGTTCATAAAACAGTGCCTCTGCAGACCAGTGCACATGCAAAGTCTGTATATCATCACCACCCTATGAGCCTCACATATGTTCAGGTTTAATACTTCAATAGCTAAAGGGGATTTCTGCCTGCAGTATTTTGGAGTTACTGGTTCTAACTCCAAGAAAGAACCTCAGATAACAATTCTCCTTCTATGTTCAATACAGACACACTTGTTCATAGCCCATAGCTAGGATAAAAATACCAAGCTGCATATCCTATGTGCCATAAAGAATAATACTTGCTGTTCCCATTGTATCTTATACAAAACAACCGTGATCTCAGTTTTCCATGTCCTTATGCATCTAAAATGGCACCACCTTGACGGAAGAGGAAGGCACTAACCAACTTGGAAGAACCCAGGGTTTGTAGATGTTCATAAAAACTGTAGGGGAAAAAAGACCGAGGGAGGAGAAAAAACCCCATAGAAACAGCCCAAAGACTACTAGATATACTCAGGGAGCATTGGAACACTGACTAACGAAAGGGGCTTGAGATTTTGCTGTTGTATCATCACTTTCAAGTTATTCAGTCCTGGTTATGTTCTTTTGGGACCTAAATCAGAAAATTCACAACCACTTCTTGGCAGACCCCATAGAAACAGCCCAAAGACTACTAGATATACTCAGGGAGCATTGGAACACTGACTAACGAAAGGGGCTTGAGATTTTGCTGTTGTATCATCACTTTCAAGTTATTCAGTCCTGGTTATGTTCTTTTGGGACCTAAATCAGAAAATTCACAACTACTTCGTCTTGGCAGAAAAATACAAAAGTCAAATAATGGGCCAGATCCAACTGTTAACTAGAATGGATCCATTGAATGAAGGGGATTAATGCTGTCTCTGTTAAATCCAATACTTCAGTCAGTCTTCTTTGGATGGGACTAGCAAATAGCTTTAGCCTAATCCATTGCGGACAATGGCGCAATAAAAAGGCTCTGTCGAGCATGTGTCCATGGTGGAATAGTGAGTGGGGCTGGACCTTTGTTATTTCCACCTGTGGGGAGATATTCGTATTTGTATACGAATATGAATACCCCCATATCTACCTCATACATATAACCACAACACAGTTAACACAGCAAGCATTTGGAAGGTCTCTGTTGTGTGAGTGCAATTACCTGAAGTCCAAAAAAAGCCATCAGAATGGAGTTAATGGTACCCAAAACGCCTTCAGGATCAAACGGCTGAGTGGTTTTGTATATCTCCTGATAAAAAAGAACATATGGCTGAAATTACTCACAGTTCTCAAGATCTAAAGGATAAAAGGGCCTCTCAACAGACAATACAGTGGGTCACAGAATAAATGTGCACCACATAACGCAATATGGCATACATCCAAACTGTCTCACTACCACACAGATAAATATATCTTGGTGCATTGTATCAGACATCACCATTAACACGAGAACCTCGGACTCAGTCAACTCATTTGTTCATTTATCCTGTGCCAAATGGGTGATAAATTTCTGAAAGAAACAAAAAAGGACCCAGTTCTATCCCAAGGGCATGTGATTCCTTCCTCTATAAACCAGAATCCTGTTGAATCTGCACAGGATAAAGAGGCAAGCATGGGAACAAGCCTATCAACACTGCAGGCCTTGTGCATCCTTAATGCACGCAAGCAATGCTTACACAATTATGTGGCAAATGAGAAGGGAAGAAGGGGAAATGGCATGATTACCCTTAAGTGCACAGTTTTTCCCAGTAGGATTTTGCCCACAGTGGCCATAAACATACTAATTTATATAATGATTGATTTTTTCCCCCAATTTATTTTTATGCCAAAACAACAAAAAAAAGGGTGTAAGTGGTCCTGTGTGTCATAACATGATACGTTCTGCATTGAACAGATAGGGTAATAATATACATACTTGTTTGACAACTTTACCTATTTTCAGAAACCATTCTGTTTCTCCATATTTGTCCTAACAGTAGTTAAGTATAAACTACACACCAGGACACTCAAATGTTGTGGCACACCCATTTCTTTTAGAACTTTTCATGATTCATATAGTCAAAGGCTTTGCTGTAATTCATAAAATACAGATTTTCATCCAAAAAATCTTCGACAGACTCTAGTAGCAAATATATATTTGCAACCTGATCCCCAATTCCTCCTCCTTTTCTGAATCCAGCTTGAACATGTGGCATTTCTCACTCTATATATGGTAAAATATAGACATATAGACATAAAACATATATATACAGTATTCTCAAAAAGAGAAGTTGGAATATGACATCCATTGATATTCTCTTTGATACGGTTACCAAAATCCCCTATGAACTTGAAATCAGACAACTGCTGGCAATCTATATCTAGCTCATTTCTCAGTGTTTTGCTGTTGCTGTAGGTGCCATGTTGAAGTGCCTATGAACAATGTCTTCTGTGACATCACCAACCTCTCAACCAGTCACATATCCAAATGACTGGTAAACTAATTCTCTTTGATACGGTTACCAAAATCCCCAATGAGCTTGAAATCAGACAACTGCTGGCAAAAAATAATCTATATCTAGCTCATTTCTTAGTGTTTTGCTGTTGCTGTAGGTACCATGTTGAAGTGCCTATGAACAACGTCTTCTGTGACATCAGCAACCTCTCAACCAGTCACATATACAAATGACTGGTAAACTAGTTTTTTTTGTTTTGTTTTGTTTTTAGCATTAAAGATAGGTGATTTCAGTAGAAAGATCACATATCTAGATTTTCCGAAGACTGGTAAAAACATTTTTGGGGTATCAGGGCGATAAGTAAATAAATGTACAAGAACATGTGAATTAGTTAGGATAGGAGGCAGATAGGTTAAATCATATATCCAGGCCTCTCAAAATTTCAGGTTAAATTTCATATGGAGAACATAGCCAATTTCAAAGCATAGCAGGAACTTATGTTCTCCAGTAGAGCTCCCGAAAAGAATCATGATGCAGCTTTTAGCACACAGTTACTTAGACCAGGGCACTTATGTGTCACTCAATTGTATTCTCTTTTCTATCAGCTCATGCAAAATTGGTTGTTATTGGACAGGAATTCCAGTTATGATATTATCCAAAGGCATCCAAGGTGGAAATATCAAAAGAAAAGAATCTATTTTACTAACTCCAACTTTGACTATAGTCCTTGCCTAACATTCCACTGAGAGACGATACAGAAATAAGAGTAACCAGCAATTTAACCTTGTATTTCCTCATATACAGTATACTATTGAGACTATCAGTTGTAGTACATAGAATAATAGAGAATCATAGAATAATTAAGTTGGAAGGGGGGGATCAAGTCCAAGCTCAAGGCAAGAATCCAAATCAAAATAGATCTGACAAAGTAGATTTTATCTTGAATGCCTCCAGTCAGTGTTGGAGTGCTCACCACCTCCTGAGGTAATTTGTTCCATTATCTTACTGCTCTAACAGTTAAGATGTTTTTCATGATATTCAGATGAAATCTGGCTTCTTGTAACTTGACTCCATTATTACATATCCTGAACCCTAGAATGATTGACAGCAGATTCTGGCCCTCCTCTGTATGACTGTCTTTCAAGTATTTGGAAACTGCTGTCAAATTTCTCCCCAGTCTTCTTTTTTCAAGGCTCAACATGCTCAGTTCTTTTCCTCAGAGGTCTTGGTTTCCAGACCCCTGATCATCTTTGCTGCCCTCCTCTGAACTTGTTCCAATTTGTTGGTATCTTAAAAGGTGGTGCCCAGAACTGGAAACAATACTCAAGGTAAGACCTGGACAGTGCTAAATAGAGGGGGACAACTAGCTAGTGTAACTAGCTTGGCACCAGAGCTTAGAAAATCTGTTTTTCATACTACAACTCCCAAAATTTGAATCCAGCACATCCCTTCCACCCCTCCACCTTCATTTCCTTTTCTAGTTTAAAATGGCCAGTTGCAGCCCAGAAGCTGCCAGGGCTACCCATTTCGAGTCTATGGGGGGCACTGCTTTGACTTTTAATCATAAGTAGTCTTTAATCAAACCCAGAAATGATCTTTGAAGATTTCTGATTTTCAGGAAAGGAGTGCATGAAGGCCCCCCAAGGTGTGTGCGTGCATGTGTGTGTGTGTGTGTGTGTGTGTGAGAGAGAGAGAGAGAGAGAGAGAGAGCATGCTTGCTTGCATGTGTGTGTATGTGCATGCTCATGCTTGCATGTATGCATGCATGTACACTTGGCAACTGCCCAACTCTGTTACACTGCTGTTTTAAACTGTACAACACTCTAAAGATCCTGGTGTGCAGGAAAGCAAATTACATTTTTTTTCTGTCCATTTCTCTCCAAATTAAATTATCTGTTGATTAATTTTTGCTAATCAAACCTACCAAAGCTTTCAACAGTGCTGAAAAGCACCTGCACAGCCTGACTCACATTTTGTTTGCAATGACAATGTGTTACTGCCAGTCGGTATTTTCATTTTGTAGATAAGAAATCTTGTGACAAAAAATCTAAGTGCTAGCTCCTAGCTAATATGCTAAACTAATTTATACTTTATTGCTATTCCGACCAAAGGTCAGCTATGTTAGATATATGACTAAAATACAGTAACAAATCATACAGTATTTACAGGTGATACATAGTAGACTGAAACTCAAATTGCAGTTACATGTAAATTTCTATTCTGATAACTGCAATGGTTTAATCATCTGTTTTCTTATTAAACAAGCTGCTGGACAGAATTTTGCAACCTTCGCTGTAGTTTCACTTGAGGAATCAGAGAGGAGAAAAATGAGGTAACAGCAGGTCTACCTAGATAATGTTTTAAGACTCGGGAAATAAGTAGATTGCAGAAATATTTAAACAATTTATATTTTCCTCTACCTACACAGAAGTAACCAATTTGTCACCTCCTAGACACAATCAACACTCAATTTTAATTGGTCCCTGGGAACCCACCAAATTTATATCATATCATGGCAAAAGCTAGTTCAAAGGGTTTTTATCAAAGGAAAATAAGGAACAGTGTCAAGGTATAAGAGAGGTATTCCACTATTTAAAGTTACACCTCCATTTCAGATCTTGAACATCATATGCATACATGTTTAGTATATGCTTGGCCACCAACTGGAAAGCCTTTATTGCTAGATGGTGCCAGTTCTAAGGTGGAGCCGAACCATTTATGTATAATGTATGGAGCAGGTATTTGTTCAGGAAAATATACTTGCAGATGCCAAATCACTCTTTGTAGATTAATGTAGCTGTCACAAGGTTGGCCACCCGAACCGATGTCCAACTATGTAAAAATTTTGTCCCAAACAAGGATGATTTCCTGAAACTAGGAAACAAGCACACTGTCAGAATAGCCTTAACTTCCATGGTATAAGGTGTTAAAACACAGTGAAACATCTGGATGTAGTCATCATGAGATACAACACAGGGGGAACCTCTGCTTGGTAAAAGCTGCAGTGCTGGTGTATTATTAAGCATAGAGATAAATTCCTAAGATCTGAGATTGCATGTGAAATTTCAAGCCTTACAGTGCCTTCAGTACTGAGTTTCTTCCTTCCATCAATGGGAGACAGATAAATAGAGTGACAGTGGCATAATAAATTTTCCCTTTGTTTGGCTATACCTGGCTACTGTCTGATGAAGGAAAGAGCTGGGGTATTAGATGAGCAATATTATGATCTAAAAGGCAAAGGCAAACAAGCCAGCCACTTACGAGGATCTCACTGAGCCTGCCCCCCAGATATTCAATTACCTTACATGTGGGGTATTGGTACATGTGGCCTTCTCCAAGCAGCAACTTATCAATGTACCCAGCTGCCCCGCCAGTACAGTTGGGGTATTTTCCATCATCTCCTATTCCCCCAGGGCCCAGGTAGCCTCTGTAGAGAGAGTACACAACATTAATTGCAGCTGTCAGGATTGCAAGCACTGGAACTGATTTTGTGTATGTTCACAAGACCAGACCGATACAGAATGAATTTGGAAATGGATGAGCTGAGCTTATTTTTCAACCCTTGGATAGCATTTAGTACATGTGCCCCATTAAGTGTAATGATCTTTGTGATATCTGCACGCCCCCAAAGGCTCTGATAATTCTGGCACACCACATTTTTTTGTTTCTCTCTCTGATCTTCCCCAAGAATTCCCTAGAATGGAATGTAATTTTAAAAATCCATTGGAATAAGGCAGTCTGAAAACATGCTTCTCTAACTGAGATGTACCGTCTGCCACAAAATATCCACAAAACATATCCCAGCTAATGCAAGTGTTTGATGTTCCTTTGATTTTCCATGTCTGACAAACAATGGAGGATGGTTATCAGGATCAGAATGTAAAATCAGTTCTTTTGTGTCAATGTTCCCTGCATAGATTTATCTCCAAACAATGCTGCATTTTTCATACACATTTGTTAGCCCTTTTAAATTGAACAAGCGTATTCAAAATACAATTTCTTATTTTAAATAGCTGTTTCCCTGTTCACAGGGCCACAACTGCACTACTGGTTAGGATACCAAGAGGAATATAATATGATTATTTGCACCCCAGGTGGGGTGCTATTTGCTTTGGATGAGATTATTGCTGGACACTTAATTACATTTTTAATATTTGCTTTAATTTGCAAATATTTTGGGCACACAATTTTTGTTCCTAACATGATATCTCTAGCTAATGCCCCAAAGTTCACTACTTTTTCATCAGATTTCTAATGGAAGACAGAAAGCCAGGCAAATACTGATATAGAGCATAAGCACAGCCTACCAATAGGGGCAAATCCAGCTAGTGCTTCTTGTCTTGTTATATCTCATTGCCAGATGCCTTTCTTATGGCCTTATACTGAATTGATCCAGCCAATATAACTTTATGTATGTGAATTATGTTGGTATCATATTTCCAAAGCTGAGAGCAGAAAACACAGAGTAATAGTTACTTAAAATTCACTTAGGTTGGCTTTTTCTGAATTTGAAATGTAAAAAGATGTTAGGAACACTGTATCAGTAACCATTTTAAACAATGTTTCAGTAAAGGTCAAGTCTTACAACAGTCAACATGGTCATTTTAAACCTGGCTTCCGCTTGCATATGTGAAACCACATAGCGCTTCCCTCATAGATCCATTTTAACAGAGGAAATATTTTTTTTAATTCTCTGAAAAGTTATTATGTCTGATTTATGGATTCTTATTACCTTCCACACGGAGAGAGATCAAACAAGCACATATTTGACATAGGCAGCCTTATGTGGAGGAGCAAACTGCATTCATCATTTTACACTATTGAAAGCATTTATTTTCATGTATTGCATTTTTGTGGCATATTATTGTTGGAATTATTTCAGTCTTGTAGACTGTCTTTACTAGGTTTGGCTGGAAGGGACCTTTCTGGGCTGGGGTGACTGTCAATCAATCCAACAGTAACCAATTGTCCCTTCCCTGCCTCTGATTTCGAAGACACCCACACCTCTTTGCTTAAGTGTCCCCCCCCCTCTTTTTAGTGTGCTGTCAGTTATGCAGTTAGAGTGTAGTCTGAAGGAACCTGCTGGAAGAAGGGTGTGAGTCTGCTGAGGCCTGTTTGTAAGCAGTCGTTTTTATACAGTATATAGGTTTTTTTTAAAAAAAAAAATCTAGTCAACTGTGAGTAAATGAACCTTTTTGTTCTTTTTCTTACCAATTCAGAGTGAGTGATTGAGACTGTAAGTGTCAGTCAATGAGAAGGAAAGACCTTGTCTACTCTGAGGAGATTTAAAGCTAATTCTGCTCTGTATGTCCCTGCACTTTGTTGTGCAGTTAGAGGATTTTAGCCAAATTTCAAAACTCTCCAACAATTATTTCCCCTTAATCAGCTCAAACCAGGGGGTATAATGACAGCCTAGCTGCTGTAAGTCCTTTTAAAGACCTTTAGATGCATCACAGGGGCTTGAACATTTAACTTTCTGTTGGAGCAATGTTGCACACACATAAACAAGAGATCTTTCTCCCAATAGTAAACAGTCAGTCACCACAGGTTGCTGCAGGTGGCAGGAGTACAGTATTTGCACCCAACTGAAAATTAATCATTACTAACTACTGGACTTCTTTGTTTATCTTAATGAAATCTTTGCTAAGATGCACTCAAAAGTGAAGGTTCATGAAAAAGGAAAGCTATTCAATTTTTCCAGAAGAACTTGCAAGACTGTAATGTGTTTCTACATTTGTTCTTTTCTAGTGGGTTGTTTAATAAAGGGAGGGAATGTGTCATGAAATGTGAGGCTAGTGGAACTTTCATTCAAATCATGATAACCTATAGTAACAGAGACTTCCTCCTCCCATCCCCTGGCTCCCACAGCTTCCAAATGGCTAAAGGGATTACACAGGCTGCAGGACTCATAGACAGAGGTAGGAAGTGTTTTCTTTCAGAAAGATCGCCACTACTGATTATTACTTAACATTAACTAAGAATTACATTTAATTCATTGTGAAATAATTTTATACTAGTTTCAGGCATAAGCCACCTTTGTATACTCATTGTTTTTAGTTTTAAAGGTTGTATTTCAATGACGTAAGCCACCTTGGGCACTTTTTAAGGAGAAAGAGAGAGTGAAAATATTTTAAATAAATAAATAATACTCATAGCAGTCACTATAGCACCTGTACCTGTCAAACCCCCACCCATGAACTTTTAGTGAATTTCAAAAACTATTAAGATTTTCACAGTGTCAGAACTTTGCATTTCCATTCTATTTTACATTCCCTCTTTTCCGCATGTTTGTATAAATGTCCACCTATTAAGGTTACACACCATGTATCCATTAAACCTTATGGCAAATAAGATGTGTTAGTATTTAAGGTGCCATTAAATCTTATGGCAAATAAGATGTGTTAGTATTTAAGGTGCCATAAGACTCCTTGTTTGTTTTACCTCACCAGAAATATGACATCAATTGCAAAGCCTCATCTATTTTGCCCATTTGATTATTTGTAATTCATGCACTTTTAACACATAAACACAGAAATCAGCAAACTACAGGGCTAAATGTATGTACTTAGGCCCTGGACACACAAGGGAAATGTTTTCTATTTCTTCTGATACTTTCCATATCTCTGTTGTACTGAATCATGGTCACGTGGTTTATACCCCAAGATGAACGTCCCAAGAACTTTTAGCACTACTGATTTATTTGCTCGATGAACGTCCCAAGAACTTTTAGCACTACCAATTTATTTGCTCCTACAGTAGTGCCTCACAAGACGAATGCCTCGCCAGATGAAAAACTCGCAAGACAAAAGCGTTTTGCGATTGTTGTGGTGACTCACAAGATGGCTTTTTCTATGGCCGTGCTTCGCAAGATGATTTTTCACCGCAAGATGATTTTTCACCTCGCAAGACAAAAATAATCCATTCAAAGAGCAATGCCTCGCAAGACAAAAATAATCCATTCGTCTTCTGAGGTTTCCCATAGGAATGCATTGAAATGCATTCCTATGGGAAACTGCGCTTTTGCAAGACGAAAATTTCGCAATACAACACTACTTGCGGAACAAATTACTTTCATCTTGCGAGGCACCACTGTATTTGAATCATTATGGCCAGCTACACCACAGTATCCATTTATTTTTTCTCTTGCTTCAAGGGGCAATTCAGCCCCTTGATCTTTTTAAAACACACACACACACCAATATATTAGAAAAAAGTCTCCCTCTAAGGTGTGTTACTGCTTGAGCATGCTTAACTCCACCTCCTCCACATAGCCTTCATACTCCCTTGTGCACCCACAGCTATCATTTCCAGCCCCTTTAGTTCCTGTTGCAATGGAACCCCACGTGGGGGGCCAGACTCAGAAATGGTGGTGGTGATGGAAATATTGATCAGGAACAGTGAGGGAATATTCAGGGAACATTGATTGGGAAGGGGTTTCTGTTTAGGGAAGTGTCCCTCTGTTGCCCTGGCTGCTCCTGCAAAAACACATTGCGCACAATGGACTTGGGAGATCCACGCAGCAGTACTGGTGATCAACACCTCTGTGACATTGGAATACCTACATTTCAATGTATCTTCCCATAGGAAAGAAAAGATATTACTCACCAGTAATATAATGGTGACATCCCCTGGTGACATACTTTTACCAGTGATGATTTGGGCACTGTTTTTTTTTAAAGCGTGTGCTACAGTAATGGTGGCCACCTTCTTGGCTTCAGTTCTGAAAAGAGGGGGGCAGGTCGAGCACACAGGCAATCCCAGTAAGGAATGCACCAGTACAACAAAGGTACAAAATAACACAACCTTCCTGGCAATTGGGAAATGTTCCGCAGTTACACTGCTAGTGGAGGAAATGTCCTGGTCCTGACTCTGCGTCGCGTGACCAAGAAAATACTGACATAACTGGTGGATAACTACATAACATTTCCCTCGTGTGACAAGGGCCTTATTTAGCAATATTTAAAATCTGAAATTGCAGTCATCAGATGTCAAAAAATCATGATAGCTGTTCAAAAATCTTGCTATATTTGCTTGGAAATCAGATTCTGAAAAATGATAAAACTGGGCTTTATTCCTTGGTTTTTAAAGAAATTTTATGTATGCCTAACAATGAGAGGAAGGGAGATCTGCATTAGAATAGGATATATATTAAATGACTGCCCAGGGAGTAAGACCTGTAATTAAATTTGAGAATATGACAGAGGTGCAAAAAAAGAGAGAACAGATTCAAGGCTGCCAGCTAATGTTCTGAGCGTCCTTGACAGAAAGCATGCTGTAGAAGAAGCAGTAACAAAAGCATGCTCTGACATTGTGATAGTAGTTGTTTTAATAGATGCAGGGAGTGGTTTAAAAAGTGCTTCTTGATAATTTGGAGCTATGTTGTGTCTCTGTCCAAAGCTATATATTTAAAACAAGGTGGAGCTTTTCTGCTTTTAATTCCACATCCAACCTATTCTCTGGAGTCAAACATGGACCTTCAAATACCAACAGTAGTGCTGTGATAAATGCATATATTCTTGTGTGATTGGTTTACTAAGCCCCTTAACAATGGTATCCATAAGTTGAACTGAAAAATGTTCCTTGGTCAGACAACAGCTTCAAGAAGTTGCGAACCTTGCTGGAGAATTTTGGGAACAACCTATCTTAAAAATTTAACTTTCTCTAGCACTGCCCATTGCTCTGCATTCTTTCCATTCTGTTTCTTTATCAAGAAGTGACCTGCAGGCAATTCATAGTTTAAATACTGTCCAATTGTTGTAATTATGTAAAGGACTGGGTTCATATTTGCACAACCACAAATGACCATATAGGCCTTTAAATTAAACCCTCTTCTGCTGTCATTTTCTGGTTTCCGTCAGAGTTGAAATTATGGACTGGAAGTTGCTTCCAACTTTTGGGTGGACTACATGCCAAATAATGCAAGAAATGCTTTGGGATCAGGATAGTTAGATTTGCATATTTTCTATTGACTACACAACCTACAACTCAATGCAAATCAACCTGGAGTTTTCCCCGCGGTTTGCATTTTTTTTCATGTGTGGCTAGGCTTTAACTTTTGTGAAATCAAATCCCTTCACATCAGTTCACTCAGTGTGGTTGCTTGAGCCAATGTGGAAGTTTGTACAGTGGTGTCCCGCTTGACAATGACCCCGTTTGATGACGAAATCGCTTGACGATGAGTTTTTTGCGATCGCTATTGTGATTGCAAAATGATGGTTCCTATTTTTTTTTTCGCTTTTCGTTTTATTTATTTATTTATTTGATTTATATCCCGCCCATCTGGTCTGGTCGACCACTCTGGGCGGCTAATTGATTAGGTCCCTGCTTCGTGAACCGTTTGTTCGCTAAACGATGATTTTTCTGGTTCCACAAAATGGCTTCCCTTCGCAAAATAGCTTCCCTCCCTTCACAAAATGGCTTCAGAAGACAGCGATTTTAAACAGCTGATCGGTGGTTCTCTATGGCCGATCTTCGCTGGACGATGAGGTATTTCCCCATTGCAGTGCATTAACTGGTTTTCAGTGCATTCCAATAGGGTTTTTCCGCTTGACAATGATTTCGCTTAACAGCGATTTTCCTGGAACGGATTATTTTCGTCAAGCGGGGCACCACTGTACTTGTTCTGTTTGAAGCCATTCCATCCGGCTCCAGTAGCAATGAGAAAGACAGGGCACAGGGGAAACTGGCTGCCATTTGAGTCCTTTCCTCCTCAAACCTGGTGTCTGGGTCTGCTTGTTTTCCTTTCCCTTCCTGCTCTGTTTTTCTTTTTTTCCCCTCCTGTTTTCTTTTCTTTTTAGGCTTGGTGCCCTAATGCTAGTGCATCTAGGAAACGGTGGGGGGAGTAAGGAGTCAGCAGAGAAAGGAGGAGGAAATTATTTATCAGCCTTGCTTCCAGCTTGTTAGGGTAGCTATGCTTTTACCATGCTACCTGCAAATCTGGATGGCCACAGCAGAACCACATTAACAAGCTGTATCAAAGGCTGCTTGTGCCAATTTCCTCCTCTGTCTCTGTTGACTCCTTGTAGTCAAAGTATATTAACCCAGGGAAACCCAATTTCCCAGATATAACTCAACAGCAGATCTATTCACATTTTCCTGCTGTATAATTGCAACCATAGTGCAGTCCAATGAATCACCCCACTGAATTGTATGGGAATAAGAAGGTGAAAAATAGAGCCAGTAGACTCAAGCAACACCTTAAAAATGAATAATGAAGCTATGAATGTAGAATTCGGAGCTACTGTCATAATAAAAAGACAGCTTCATAGGAGGCAAGCGGTTTACACCAAGCTCTGCAGAAATAAATCTCTCTATGTAGGTTTCCCATCTCCTATCTCTTCACAGTTCGTGGACTAAAATACTAGTTTATATTTCATTCCTGTATTTGCTTTTTAAAAATGTAATATTTATGGAGGGGGGAATTACACAACTTCATTTTTCCGTTCAGAACACCAGGAAATGTGGAAGGGAAAATTTATACTTGTTAAAAGCAACATAATCATTTTGCCTTATTCACAAACATATGCAAATACTCCCACATTACAATGAAAATGGATACATTGATTTCATACAGCTTTTCCTTAATCTCTAGCAGGCACCTCAAGCTGTGCCTGCCCGATGGCTAGATCATTATTTTAAATGATAAAACAGCAGGACATGTACTATATGACAGCATCACTTTGCAAGTGCCTTTTTGAAGGATGCATGTCCTGGGGCCAATGAAGGAGCTGCAGAAACACTGCCAAAAACATCCAACAATTTATATTACTAGTTACGAACCAGCCACAGCAAGCTAACACCTTTCCTTAAATTTTAAAGGGGGAAACCTCCTTTTGAAGGGTTTAAATGTAACCTCACCCCTGCCACTTTTTAAATCTATATGCAAAAGAAGGGTAAGTGAACATTAAAATCCTAAAGAAAGGAACCACCATTACTGGGATGGTTGATGCTCTGTCTAACTGCCTGAATAGCTCAGTGGTTTAGGGATCTGGCTGTGGAGCCAGCGGCTAAGAATTCAATTCCTCACTGTGCCTCCTGTGAGTGGCGACAGCCTGTGTGGCCTTGGGCAAGCTGCACAGTCCCAGGGTCTCCTTCCCCCCCTCAAAGGAAGGTGGTAAACCACGTCTGAGTATTTTCTACTTAGGAAACTCTGAAAAGAGTAGCTATAAGTCAGAACTGACTTGATGGCACATAAAAAAGATGCTCTCTCTCTGGCGGGTCTTGTTTAGACTGATGTAAGGGAGTCTTTCTCTCATTAGCATTAAATCTCTTGACACAGAGAAGGAATGGGTGTTCTTTCACCTAGCCTAGGAGTGGGGAACTTGTGGCACTTTAGATGGGAGGCCACAAAAGGAGGTAAAGAAATTACACCAATTTATAGTCGAGGCAGGCGAAGAAAAAAGGTTGTCCTTTCAGCATGAAGTGGGGAAAATGTACTTTTTTTGTTTTGCATGTATGAACAAACAGAGTTTCCCATTAGCCCCGGCAAGCATAACTATTCGGGGGGACAATAGGAAGAAAACTACAAAAACATTTGGAAGGCCATAGGTTTTGTGATGTACACATAGGATTCCATGTGAACTGGCAGTCTGCACTCAAGCAAGTAATGACCAGACAACTGAGCTGGGAAGTAAATACGTGAATCACAAGGGGCTGCTACACTCAGAGCAGTTTGATGTATAATTAAGCAACCTTGTAAGACCCAGACAGAACTCCATTGGTTCCTTGTGTCATCTGACCCACTGTGAGTTTAGACCTGTAACTCTATTCTCTTTCTGTTTTCAGGAATGGAGCTGACACCACTAGCTCCCTTGAGCAAAGGGAGGGGGGTTCCCCTGACATTTCAGAGTAAGGTGCATCCCCTGCTCACATTGTGGGCTGCTCCAGTTGAACCAAACTATAAAAGAAAGAACACCACTCAATGGTAGAATCAGTACAGTGGTGCCTCGCTTAGCGATGTTAATCCGTGCAGAAAAAATCGCTGCTAAGCGATAACATCGCTAAGCGAAAATAAAAAGCCCATAGAAACGTATTAAAACACGATTAATGTGTTCCTATGGGCTAAAAACTCACCTTTAAGCGAAGATCCTCCATATGGGCGGCCATTTTCGGTGCATCTTAAGCGAGGAAACACAGCGGGTGGCCATTTTGTTTACCCGGTGGCCATTTTGAAACCGCCGATCAGCTGGCCGAAAAGAAGGCTTTGTGACGATCTCTTCCCTGCGATCATCGCAAAGTGAAATTTCCCCATAGGGACCATCGCAAAGCGATTGCTTTTGCAATGGCAAAAAGTCCATCGCAAAGTGAATTCATCGTTATATGGAGCGATCGCTATGCGAGGCACCACTGTACATGAAAGGACTAGTTTACAAGACCAGCCTTCCTCAACCTGGCACCTTCCAGATGCATAAGGCATAGCTCCCAGCAGCTCTAGCCAGCAGATCCAGGCTCTGCTTGTCAGGAATAATGAGAGTGATAGTCTGGCAGTAGATTACCGAAGACTGCAGCACAACTGTTTTCTGTGCTATAAGTAACTTGCATTTCATCATATTGCAGCATGTTCCAGAATCTATTTTTGGTCTTGTCCACCCCTTTCCTATAGTAGGATGGGGTACAGCATTTTTCATCTATCTTCTGCTAAAGAACAAGATATGATGGAGGACAATGAAGACGTTCAGAGAACTAACTTTTCTTGTCCCCTCAGCCTCTTGATAGCCTGTTTTCCGGGGAGGTAGTTCAGCTGGGCCTCCCAATTCTTCACAGGGCTTCAGGTGGCTGTCAGGGAGGGGTGGAGAGAGATGACAGGAAATGTCCTTCTTCCAGATGGTGCCAGGAGATTCCCTCATCCCCCAGAGGAAGAGGAAGAGGAAGAGGAAGAGGAAGAGGAAGAGGAAGAGGAAGAGGAAGAGGAAGAGGAAGAGGAAGAGGAAGAGGAAGAGGAAGAGGAAGAGGAAGAGGAAGAGGAAGAGGAAGAGGAAGAGGAAGAGGAAGAGGAAGAGGAAGAGGAAGAGGAAGAGGAAGAGGAAGAGGAAGAGGAAGAGGAAGAGGAAGAGGAAGAAGAAGAAGAAGAAGAAGAAGAAGAAGAAGAAGAAGAAGAAGAAGAAGAAGAAGAAGAAGAAGAAGAAGAAGAAGAAGAAGAAGAAGAGTTTGAATTTGGTCCCAAAACCTCAGACCTTGCCCAACCCTGCTTGGGGAACTGGCCATCTTTCTGTGCTTCTTCTGTTTCGTGTTGCTTTAGGCAACATGTGGTGGTCTATTATCCCATTAGAAATGTTTTAAAATACATTTCCCCCTTCCAAAACAAATCCATAGATCCAACAACTCTTTCTGTGGGAATTCTGAATTGCACTATCATCACTCACTCCTACTTACCTGGGGCATCCAGGCACAGGCAGGAAGAATGTCAGGCACAGCCACAGAACCTCCAAGATCACCACAATTATCCACTCTGGCCAGTAGAGAATGATGTCTTTCACTGAAGCCCACCAGTTACCAAACTGCAAACAGAAAAGAATGCATATGTTTCATGGCCTACAGTCAAGAAAATAAATTTGGCCACTCACATGTGTGGTCAGAATCACTCTTACCACTGACACACTCTTGCTGGTGTACCTTTGTGTGAATCAATAGGAAACAGGTTTCTTAAATGCAGGAAGAAGCCAATACAATCATTGGCTGCTTCCTTTTGCTTTCACTTACAAGATTTACACACTCACATACTTACCCTGAAAATGGCAATCATTACCCTGAAAATGGCAGAACACACTTCGCTTTTGGATAGCAATCACAAACACACTTCCTATGTAACAAAGGTAGTGTTCATTAGAAAATACAATGGTCAGAACCCTTTTGTTTACTTACATCAGCATAAGTGCAATTATGTAAATCACAATGGCAAATTGCTGCCATTTAATGAGTTGCTGTTCACATTTCTGGTCACATACTAAGTCGCATAGACCAGATGGGCGGGATACAAATCAAATAAATAAATAAATAAAAATAAATTGTATGACCAGCATGCAATCAGTAATGTGAGCAACAACTTATTAGTTAGCAGCAGTTCACCACCAGCATTTATGTAATTACAGTAATGCTGGAGTAAATAGACAAAAGGGTTCTGGCAAACGTTGCCTCTAATTTTCCATGAGTATGGGGTTCCAGCTGCAATTGAAAACAAATGGGCAGCAACACCAGCTCAGCAACACTGCATGGCCCCAATGCAGCATTGCACACACACTCGCCTATGCAGATTAGAGGGAACATTGGTTCTGGTCATTAAGACAGAAAAAAGAAGAGAAATCTTAATTTTAGCTAACTAAAATGGAGATGCAGGGAGGCATAACTGCCCCTCCCCTCTTGAGAACAAAAGCAAGATGTCTCCTCTGTCCCTTTCAAGAGCGGGTCAAGACAGAAGGAAATGAAACGATATCCACAACCCTAAGACCATCAATTTAGGTTGAAAGAAGGTCAGGATAGGTCAAAGCAGATAAACAACAGTCTAGGAAGACTGAGGAGGTTTTTCTCTTTAAGTCTACTTTCCTCCATAGAAAGACCAGTACCGTATCTTCATCAGTGAATGCTGAATTGCATCCAGACACTTCCAACAGCACATGCAGTAAAGTCCACCATTCAAATTATTCATAGTGGTTGCTGCTATGCTCTCAATCCCAGATATCTGTAGCAGGACAGAATTTTGTTCAGTCAGTTGTTGTTTTTTAATAAGAGAATTCCCAAATCCACATATTCTTCACAGATGCAATGGCAAGGACTTCACATTTTAAAGAATTCAAATATGGGAGAAAACAAATCTGAGAGATTTGCCCATCCAGGTCGGAGACTTTGAATGCTAAAGCTCTTCAAAATCTGGATTTGAATGTATGTGCATTTGTTGCACTGTGTTTGGGTCGCCATCTCTTCTTTCTGTCAGGCTCCTCATTTTTAACAGGTACATGGCATGGTGTGTATAACACAGACTTTGCATCACTAAGAACAGATGAGACTTTTGGGAAATCACAGAGTTTGTTTAGGTCATTTTAAATAAATTATGTACCTACATAAAGAGACTGGAACTGGCTGTACTTGAGGAGGAGGAGGAGGAGGGAGGACAAAGCAATGCTGACACAGTGATGCATTCCTGCCTTGTGTATAGCAAAAAAAAAAAAAGCTTGAGTGGGCTGCATTCTTGGAAAGATGCACAGTGTAAACTCTCCCTGAGTCAGGTTTCTCACAAGAAGCATAATTTGTTTACTTCACTGATACTTCATCCTTGTTGTTGCTCGATCCTGATGACTGAAGCTTTCTTGCTTGACACAGTTCCCCAATTCAGTCCTGAAGAAGGTACCCAAAACTATGTGGGAGAGGGATTTAGCCACAGGTATAGCTAAGGGAGCTGTTTTTATACACCAACTGTCTACTGGAAGGTACCCTTAATGTTCACTTTCAACAAGCACTGTCCTTTCCTGAAAACTGAGAAGTGAGTCATGTGTGAATCAAATGAGATTAGAAGGAATCTTTTTGAAGGTGAAATGGAGGTAGCATGTAGGAAGGAGACAGGATATGAGACCTCAGTTTTTAAACCTACCTGTAATTCCAAATTTTCTAAGGTTTCATTACATAAGATATAAATGATTTGATATATAGTACATAAGTCAAGGCATAGAAATATGTGGGCCTCTAGACCAGCCATTCTCAACCTTTTTTTTTTTTTGGTCACAGTCATAAACACAATATGAAAAAATATACAGGCTGAATCAGGACTGTATAAGTCACACAATGAACCTTATGTGGTGCGTGAAGAATTGTTCCCAGTTGTGCCCCCCTCCACACTGTCTTCAGTGTGGAAAGTATTGTCACACTCAAATTGGCCTTCTCAGCCACACTAGACACCGTTCCAAGACCTCTATTCAGAGCATGTTACTATAATCTCTTGAGACTGAAGGACGACTACCTGTTGCTCCCTTCAAATGTGCCGAGGTGTCCCAGGGTCGCCCATTGAGAGTGGCTACTCTAGATATTGCTGGACCGCAGCTCCTGTAATCCCTCACCCTATACTTTGCTAATTTTGCTAACTATGCGGCAGCAATACTTTGCTAATTTTGCTAACTATGCGGCGGCAGCTCCTTGCCTCTGGAACAGCCTTCCTCCGGAGAGTCATGTGGCCCCTTCACTGGGTATTTTTAAAAACCAATCAAGAATATGGGTGTTCAGGCAGGCCTTCTCTCCAGTTAATATCTGATTCTTTTCTTTTCTCTTTTTCTTTTGTGGTTTATTTTTTATTTTCTCTTCCCCATCTTGAAGAACTGGCTATTTAATGTAATAATTCTTTTTTATATTTATTGGTTGTCTTATGTGTTTGTAAGCCGCCTAGAGTGGTCTCAAGACCAGATGGGCAGGATATAAATAGAATAAATAAATAAATATATATAAGTTTGATTCTAAATAAATAAATAAATAAATAATGTGCCTGATGGGAATTGTAACTGGTCATCTCTTAACACAAACATATATGTAAGTATTTATTAGAAAATGGTTGCCCAGCAGCCCGCAAAAGGTTCCATTGAATCACTGAGGCTGCCATTTCTAAACTTACGTAGTTCGTCAGTGAAGTATTTGTCATTATTAGCAGATCATTATCACTATTAAAAATACACAAGTATCTGGTCTATAAATATGTTTTTAAACCAAATGTAAAATTGAGGCATACAAATTTGTGATAAAAGGAAATCGATAGGGCTTGCAGGAGGCAAGGAATGAGGTCACTCTGTTTACTTCCTTGGCAGTAAAGAAATGTATAGTATCTTCCTAATTAATGCCTTGCCATTTTCAGAATGGGAATCAATGGGAACATTTCTTCTGCACAGACTGAAGACAGACATAACCTTTGAACACTGGCCAAGTCACATCCTTTACTGTCAGTGCAATCCCAGTTTTGCAACTTGGCTTACTCCTATCAAGATGTCAAACAAGGGCTTTTCCTCTGTGATGCTCTGAACTAATTTTTGGAAAGCCAAATGTATGTGTACATGTTTCATGTAGTCCCATTGTGGCTTCCAGACAAACCTGTGCTTCTTCTTTTCTTTTTTCTCTTTAATATTTCAGCCATCATCCTGAACTGTAATGTTCCTTCAACATACAGAATTATTTCACAATCATGTGATCATTGTTATTGTTGTTTTGTTACAGTATGTCTAATTAGATAGGTGTTCTAATTTGGGGGCCATATACCATATCTAAATGCTAGGCATGCAGATGTGATCAGAACTGTATATATAGTAAGTTGCAGCAGGCCACCATCTATTAGTCAGTAGGACCTGGCAGTTTAGAAGACATATGTTAATACACAGGTTCTACCTAGCTGGCAAAAGTTGTCAACATAACAGCGGGACCACTACCTCTCATCTATCTTGTTTGAAAAAGGTGGCTGTCAGAAAGATTATACGTTAGTAAATGTTTATGCACCGAATGTGAATCAAGGAGAATTTTATAAAACTGTTGTCAAAGAGATGGAGAAGGTTAGAAAGGGATATGTAATTATGGCAGGAGATTTTAATATGGTTTTAGATAAGGTAAAGGATAAAACTGTATGTAATTGCCTTGTGAATAATAGAAGTACCCTATTCAGTAAGATATTGAAAACTACGGATTGAAAAGATATATGGAGAGAACTGAAGGGAGATGAAAGAAGGTTTATGTATTATTACTCTACATAATACAATGGTGCCTCGCAAGACGATTGCCTCGTCGGATGAAAAACTTGCTAGACGAATGGGTCTGGTGAGGTTTTTGGTGCCTCGCAAGACGATTGTTCCTATGGCCATTTTTTGCATGACAAATGTTGCCCTTTTGGGGTTTTTGTGTGTGTGTGTGTGTTCAGCATCATTTTTGAAGATCACACCCTTTTCTCCTGCCTTCAGCAAGCCTCCAGACGGAAAAAGGCTCCCCCCCTTTTTCCATTCAGAGCCCTACCAAAGGCAGAAGACGATTGTTCCTATGGCCATTTTTTGCGCAACAAATGTTGCCCTTTTGGGGTTTTTTTTGTGTGTGTGTTCAGCACCATTTTTGAAGATCACACCCTTTTCTCCTGCCTTCAGCAAGCCTCCAGACGGAAAAAGGCTCCCCCCCTTTTTCCATTCAGAGCCCTACCAAAGGCAGGGGAAAAGGGCACGATCTTCAAAAATGGTGCTGGGCTAGCCTCTGCAAGCACCGCTCGCCACTTGAAGGGACCCCCACCAGTCTTCTGATGGTGCAAGGGAAGCCCCGGGGGACCTCCTAAGGTGGCGATCCAGGTGAGGGGGCCCCTCGCCAGTCCTCTGATGGTGCTTCCCTAGCTCCCTAACTGGTAAGTGTCTTTTTAAAAAAAAAATCCCATGGGAACACATTAATTAAATTTCAATGCATTCCTATGGGAAACCGCAGCTCGCATGACAAAAATACTGTATCACAAGATGACATTAACACATTAATTTCGTCTTGCGAGGCACCACTGTAGTTATTCAAGAATAGATTTTATGTTTATATCTCAAAATTTAATTTCTAAAGTGGTAGATACAAATATTAATGTGATAAAAATAACAGATCATGTGTTGATGATGATGGAGACGAAAGTTAAGAAAGATTACAGAGAAGCTAGAAGATGGAGAATAGATTCCAATATTTCTCAGTATACAGATGTAATGGAAATATGGTCAATAAATGAAGCAGGTGAGAGTAAAACAGGAGTGTTATGGGACATTATGAAAACAATTATGAGAGGAATTGTCATAAGAGAATCATGTAGAATAAAAAACTGAGAGAAGAAAAAATATATAAAAGATGAATCATTCAAAGATTTAGAAAGTAAATATTTTATAGGTAGAGATAATAAGAAATTATTAAAGATTCAAGCTAAAAGGAGTTAGAAAGCACAGAGTTAGAAAAGGTCCAGAGGGATTTTATATACTCGAAGAGTAATTTTTGCAAGTATAGTAATAAAAACTCAAAGCTTCTAGGTAGGGTAACTCAAACTTAAAGATCAAAAAAACACAATTGGAGTGATTGGAGATAAAACAGGAAAGAATTGGAGCCTAATGAAGGAGAAATTAATGATATTACATAATTTTACCTAAATTTATATAAAGGTAATAGTACATCGGAAAATGAGGGTTTTACGATTTATGTCAGTGAGAATAAGAGAAAAAAAATTCAAATTGGGTTTAAGATGGTATTTGACACCAACAAAGTTGAATAAAATTAATGCTAGTTACCTGAATGTCTGTTGGAAATGTGAGAAGGAAATTGGTACATACTTTCATACGTGGTGGGAATATGAAAAAGTAATTTTTAAAGAACTAAATGACATATGTGAAAAAGATATAGAATTTAATCCTGAGATAGCTCTGTTATCAATATTTGAGAATGTGGAATATGATAAGATGACTAGAGAATTGATTACCAATTTATTAACAGCAGCCAGATTAAGAGCTAGGAATTGGAAATCAAAGTCTGAATTTTGAATGGAAAAATGGTATATTGAAATATGGAACATTGCTATAAATAAGTTAACTTGTAACTTAAAGATTAAGAAAGGAGAGATGAAAAAGAATAATTTCTATGATACATGGGGCAGATTTCTTGAATATGTGCTAACAAGAGGAAAAGGGAAAGCTCCAAATCAAGAATCAATGCAGTTCTGGAGTAGCGGACAATCAAGGAAGATTAAAGATAGAGGAAGAAGAGGATCACTACAAGAGGTCCCAACTATAGTAGTGGGGAACACAGTCGCTTTGTAGTTTATGTTTATGTTGTAGTTTAAGAAAAAGAAAAAAAGAAAAAGGTGGCTGTCAATTCTGTTATTATGGGAGGAAGTGACACTCTCTCCACAGATTTATATTGCTGTCACCATCAGTGAACATTAATATCCAGTTTTCCAGGTGGCTCAAGACCAGAGTAAGGAAGAGCCCTACCCCAACATTTTGTTTGCTCAGATCTTAAATGGCCACTGCTTTCCATTAATATGCTGGTGGAAACAGATGCATTCCATAGTGGAAGGAAATCAACCCAGTGGAGGGAACCTGAGGACTAGCATTTCCTTCTGTTCTTGGAAACTAATGTAGTGGTTACAGAAGGGCTACAAATATGGGTAGCCTGAGCCTTGGCCCTTTTGTTTGCTGAAAGAGACAATTTCCTATGGGATAAATTCAGATGCGAAAGAGTAGTAATTCTTTATACACTTAGAAACAACATTTAATAAAAAACGGTGCCTTGTCCTTTCCTAGTCATCTCTTTTCTATACTAAAAAGGCCAAAACATTTTTGCCATTTTCTCATGGAGCAGGTTCCCTCAACCCCTTCATAATTTCCCATTCCCCACAAGCAATTTCTTAGTAGTTGACAGAAAGCAACCAGCAAAACCCTTCCTGACAGACAGTGCTTCCAGACCAGGCTTTTACTGTGTAATTGCACCGCTTTTCACAGAATTTTAAGGGAAGTTTTGATATGATCGTATTCTTTTATAGCCTTCTTGAGTTTCCCCACTGCTGCTGCTTCTCTTTCTGTTGTTGCTGCTGTTTCTTTTCTTATTAGCCAAACAAACAAATAAAAAGCAATAGCTGCACAGCTCCTTCTGAGTTGTAGCTGTAGGAATGCTTCATTTGGAAGTAAACCAACTGTCAGTGGTAGCAATGAATGACAGTATAGGTAATTAGTTAGAGTTACAGTTCTGTAATTCTTAGAAGTTCTCAGTAGTTACATTATTTAAAAGAAATATTCTTATTTCTCATTATTCAGAAGTAACTAAAACAGATGCTTCTAGTTACTTTTTCATTAAAGCCCCCACAATCAAAAAGCTGTAAGTCATTCAGCTGTGGTATGAAACGCATTGAGTAATGAGACCATACAGTCATCTGTAAGTATAATGATAATTGTGTGCTGTAAAGTCAATTCTGACTTACAGCAACCCTCTTCAGGGCTTCCTAGGTAGAGAGTACTCAGAAGTGGTTTACCATTTCCTGCTTTGGGGGGCATCTTGGGACCGTGGAGCTTGCCTAAGGCCACACAGGCTGGCTTTTCTGAGATACACTGAACTTCCAATTTCTGACTCTGCATTCAGATACCTAATCACTGAACTATCCAGCTAGCTCCCTATAACTACAGAGGTAACTAAACAATTAAGTTAAACAAAGTTAAGTTAAAGTCCTTCCTACATTATCATCCTAACAAAACTTAGTTATGCCTTACTATTTGCAAAAAAAAGTTAATTTAGCAGCAATTTGTTACCTGTAACCAGAAACTTTCAAACTCTACTAATATAAGTAAAGAATTTGTGACAAACCTAGACACCGCACACATACCATACAGTGGAGTGAGGACCTCTCAAATAATCGGCACAGAATATAGCAAAGTATCATCTAGGAATACATTTCCAGAATGAATTCCATTATTACCCCTCACCTGATGTTGGTCAAAATCTTTGATGCTAAAGCAGGTCTGCATCAAAGCCAAAATGCAGTAAGTAATGCCAAGACGTTGCAGGACACCTGGAATCCTTGCCCAGCTCCAGGATACTGTGGGAATAAAGTTAAATGTTATCTTTAGAGGCTCAATTTAAATGGTGTTCCAAATCTTGGATTTAACTTCAGGGTTCCATCATAAAATGCATAAAGTAGATCTATTACATTTTAAAACTTGATCCTATGGAAACCATCTCTGTGGAGCATTCCTTAAATAAAGAACTGGTGAGTTAGTCTAGTTTTTTTTCCAGTGAAAGCCTGATTTGGCCCCTGACCTTACAGGCTGAACAAAAGGTGTACAAGGCCAGGTAAGTTTGTAAGTATTTTGAATGTCTTTCTAAGCAATTATTTTGTAGGGCTTACTCTGGACTAAATGGGCCTGTATGCATTAAACACGTGACTGCACTTCATCTATCTGTTTTTTTTTTTTTAAATAGTCCTCAAGAAGAGTTAATATTATGCCATGCAGGGACTCTACTGCACTTCTGAAAATTGCTCCCTGAAATTAGCTACCACCTTTCCTTTTCCAGCAAGAAAACAGCTTTGGAGGCCATTTTATGTGGGGCTCTGGGATGGAGTGAAGAGTAATCCCCTTTGCCAGGGTACTGCTGTACCAGTCCTGATCACCCTTCCTACAACTCCTGAGTGAAAGCCTGATTTGGCCCCTGACCTTATAGGCTGAACAAAAGGTGCTCATCCCCGTTTCCAAGCCATAGAGCCAGCGTTTTTGTCCGAAGACAATCTTCCGTGGTCACATGGCCAGTGTGACTTAGATACGGAACGCTGTTACCTTCCCACCGAAGTGGTCCCTATTGATCTACTCGCATTTACGTGCTTACGAACCGCTAGGTAGGCGGGAGCTGGGACAAGCGACGGGAGCTCACTCCGTTGCATGGATTTGATCTTATGACTGCTTGGTCTTCTGACCCTGCAGTACAGGCTTCTGCGGTTTAGCCCGCAGCGCCACCACGTCTCTACACATGCAACAACTCCTGCTTAATCTCCCCTAAACCACTGCTTCACCATTTCCAGTTTTATCCAAAGTAACCAGCATTAAGTATTCTGGGACCACAACTTGGAAATGTAATTTTGTGGACTACAATTCTCAGAATTAGGTAGCTAGTATGGCCAGTGGCAACCATGGCTTAAAGATTCTGGGAGATGTAGTTGCAGAAAGTAACCTTGTGAAGCTTTGTCTTAGAACTGAAATAAAGCAACAGGAACTGAGGGTGCAATTACATATCAAAAATTACCTGATTTTGAATTAGGTTTAGCGTGTTTGAAATCAATTTTAAAAATTCCAACTACATGAGGCACAAGGAAGCACAGATGTTTTTGCCTGGGAAGCATGTTATTTTAGATCCCTTGTGAAATTGATTTATGTAGTTTGAATCATTTCAGCTTATGTGAATGCCTCTGTAAATTACATCTCTAGGTTTGTCAAATAATGGATGCCAGGGTCATGGATTTTCAGGCTGTAGGGAAACCTTCCAGTTAGATCTTTTATATACATATATCTGTAACAGCGATCTAGCATAAAGCTTCCCAACCCTGGGTCCCCAGAAATTCTCGGACTAAAGCCCTCAACACTAGCTTGTGCTGGCCAAGATTTCTGGGAGTCTTAGTCGAGGAACATCTGGGGATCCAAGGTCAGGGATCATTGATCTAATGGTATCCGACTTGTAAATAAATAAATAGATAGATAGATAGATAGATAGATAGATAGATAGATAGATAGATAGATAGATAGATAGATAGATAGATAGATAGATAGATAGATAGATAGATAGATAGATAGATA